TGGTTGGTTGGTTGGTTGGTTGGTTGGTTGGTTGGTTGGTTGGTTGGTTGGTTGGTTTTGGTGATGTTATCAGTGGAACTTAGGGTCATGTGCAGACAAGGCAAGCACTCTGCCACTGAACTACATCCTGATCCTTAGCTTTGCTTGTTTTTCTTATACGGTATGCTTTCTCCAATTTTCCATATGGCCATTATGTTCATTGTTGTCTATGATAAAAGAAGTGAGAATAAAAGAAACTGGAGAGATGAGTCAGCAGATAAGAGCATTTGATCCTTCCAGTGGTTATAAATTAAGTTCCAAACATCCACTTCAGGCAGCACTCAACTGCCTGTTGCTTCGCTGCACAGACCCCAATTCCCCTTTCTGGTATACACGCTTTAATTTTTTTTAAATAAAAGTAAAATCTACAATTTCAGCACAAGCAGTAAGACATATGAGGAGTATAAAGTAGATGCCACTTTTCATGTGTTCTTTCAAATTGTATTTCAAGATCGTAATGAAGAGGCTTTGTCTGAGCTGAATGCAAGGACATTCCTACTGTTTTTTTAGATATTTCATTTTGCCATGCATAATTGCATGTAGGCTCTGTGCTGCCTCTGTTACATTTTGATGGATGAATCAATACCAAGATTGTTGCTAGATCTTTCTCTGAGATTGTACCATCTGTTTCACATCAGCACTTGTCTTATCTCTCTGAAGCAAAGATGTTATATTCAGTGATGTATTATATTATGCATCTGTGTTTGCACTCATATATACACAAATACATGCACGTATATAGATTTAAAAAATACTACTAAAGTCAGAAAAGAAGGGGCCAACAAGATGGCTCAGAGGAAACAGGTGCTTGCTGCCAACCCTGATGACCTGAGTTTGATCACCACAATCCACAGGATGTAAAGAGAGAACTGACTGATCTCCACACACATAAGGCAGCACATGCTTAAACACACATACATGCACACACAGACACATACATACATAAGACTAAATGATAAGGAAGACTTCTGCCAAATGTAATTGCAGGCTTGTTATTTATTTCCAAGATGATATGTGAAAAGCAGCCTCTGCTTCTCAGAACTGAAATTCACTGACAGTCTAACACTCATTTGGTTGACTTTTGCCCAAACAGAATCTGAGTTTGCCTCTTTTTACCATTTACGTCTTATTGGTAAAAAGACAAGAACATACTATACCTCCTCAGAAAGTCAGAATGATTTCACTTTATCAAGGTGCTTTATTTTTGCAAAGCTCTGTTATGCTATATCCATTCTCATCAAGCAACCCTAGGAGAGAAGTTATTCCCCACTTGAAAGATGAGGTCTGTTGAGTCATCCCTGGCTCCCGGTTTGAATCTCAGCACTAACTCTTAGATTGTAAGTTGCCTTAGCAACACCCACCTTGTGACCTGTATGAATAGAAAAACAATGACACACTCTGAAAGTGACGCAGTGTGATGTAGTTATTTTTGTTGCTCCTAACAACAGATACATAATGGGGCCACACTTCACATACATGGATTATATAAGACGTAGTGTGTGTGTGTGTGTGTGAGAGAGAGAGAGAGAGAGAGAGAGAGAGAGAGAGAGAGCAAGAGTATATGTATACATGCCTGCAAGTGTATATAACTCTTCTGTGCACAGAGCAGAGGTTTTGGATGCCTTGGAACTGGGTATCCAGGCTAGGTCTTTGCAGGATGAGCACATCATTAAATGGATGCTGGTCCTCATGATCCCACAGCAAGAGTCTGTGACCTATCTCCCTAGCCCCAATATGTGGGCTTTCTTTCTTGCACTGTGCAGTGCTATTTTCCTTATACTTATCTGCTTAAAGGTTGTGTTTTCCAAGCATATAAATAAAAAAAAAAGTTTACTTGCCTGAAAATACTAGATTGGCACAGTATGATCGCACTGCTGACTCACTGAGTAGATATAACTTATGCCCTGCCAGTTCTTAACCGTGTTCTGTAAGAGCCACCTGTAAAGCAGGTAGATAATTAATTCCATACTCCGGTTTAGCCTTGGGATAGTTTAAAATTAAATCAGATATCAAAGAAGAGAGCAGAATGATGGTTGTCAGGGGCCTGGGGGTTGATGGCAGGAATGGGAAAGGCAGGTTAAAAGACACAGAGCCCTGGCATATATGTTATGGCAATCTATTGTACCTATTGTATCTATTGTAATCTATCTATTAATTATAGTCACATGGTGACTATAATTAATAATAATGAACACTTGACATTTGCTAAGTGATGACATCCTAAATGTGCTTGCCACAGAAAGGAAGTATGAAAAGAAATAAATATGTTAATGAGTTTTATTTAATCACTTTACATTGTAGTTTAATCACTTTACAGTATATAAACTATACATTTATAGACTTGTAATGAGACATTAAAATGCACCCTGTAAATCTATATGAATTTTTTTGTTGATTACATTTTAGTAAAGTAAGAAAGTGTCAACAATACAGTCCTATCTGAATGAAGCTGGAACTGCTGAGGCCAGGCAAAGCTGATTCTGAGACACTGCATTTAGAGGAATGGTTTGAGGGAGCTTCTTTTTCCATATATTTTACTAATGTGTATTAATTTTTAAAATAATGGGGTTTATTATGACATTTTCATATATGTATAGAAAGTACCTCAACCATATATCCAGGCTACTACCCAGTGACTATTTTATAGGGAGTTTCTTAAATGATGAAACTATATCATGAAATGTCATAGAAAGGCATTTCTATGTACTCAGGACACCTAGAGTCTGTGTTAAGGACCAAGGGTCTGGGAGTATTCATTAGTATTGAGAATGTGAGAACACTGAGTAATTATTCTGACTTACTCATTTCAGACAGAAAGTTATTTAATAGTATGGCCAGATTTTAATCTTTCTCCTAGGAGGAGGAAAAAAAAAAACATTCCCAGAGGATCCTTGCCCCAAGTAATAGATGTATTCACATAGGAGACTGATATCAGGCCACTCCTTGCTGGTTACAACTTAAATATGAAAAAAGAAAAGCCCCTAATTCCATGCTGGAAAAGCCTTTTCTCTGGTTCCCCAACATTGCACCGAACTTTTAGGAGCTACTTGCAGTGTTGATGCCTAAGCAACTAGGATGGAAAGATGATGTGCCCAGCAAAGGCAGAGGCCCGTGCTGTACTGTGGGGCACAACTGAGAAGCTACAATTAGGGCAGTAGTTACATCCAGTTTAAATACAGACTTTACTTCTAGCCAAATAAAAGCAATTATCCCCTCATCCTTGACGAGATTGTACTGTACGAGCAGACTGCTGAAGAGAGAGTGCTGTGACAGATTTTCCCAAGCATTTCCAGGTCATTTGTTGACAGAACCCTGCCGTGTTAGGAGACCCTGTCTCAGCTCCCGCAATCATGGGCTGGTCTACTGGAAAAGTGAGTAGAGTATTGGCAAAGACAGCCAACTCCTAACATTTGTTCCAAGTGACCTTGCCTCTGTTATTACTGAAACTTGGCTCGGAGCCCATTAGGGGTCACTTGTTCCCGTTCGCAGAGGAGATGTAGGAACTGGGGGATGACAGGGATGGTGTACGTGGCCAAAAGTGAGGAAGCCCCTTCTCAGAGAGTTTAGCTTTCTACCAAAGAGGGCTGTCTTTGTTCCGAAACCACTTAAGTTTGGTTTGCAGCAGATGATTTTGCGACTCCCGTGTGCTTCCTGCATCTGCTTAGTCTTAGACGCTTCCAAACAATTTTTGAAATCTTCTCACAATTTTCTGATCCTTCCTGATTCATGAGCTGCATAAAATGCAAGTCTTTGTTGTTGTTGTTTTTTAATTCTAGTTTTGCAAATGCAAATCTTTTTTTTTTAAAGTGGGTGCTAGAGCCTGCTGGAGGCATAACTGATTGCTAGAAGTAACATTGTTCATGTGCCTCACAAAAACTTTCTTAAACTACCTCAGTTTTGTCATTTCCACAGGAAACGTTAGGTCACTTTAATTACAGCCACCGTTTATCTTGAATTATGGCAAAATAAATGCACTGCACTCCCTCTGCTGGCTCAGAGGCAACAGCCGCTTATCAACCAGACCTACAGACCTATTTTTAGAAGCGCTTCACCATCTACAAACAAAACAAAGAAAGAAAAAAAAAAAAAAAAAGAAGGAAAGAAACAGAAAGTGGGAAAAAAGAAGCAAGAGCTGCGAAGCTGCTAATTTTATTATTCATTTAAAATGTTAGAAAAACAAACGTCCGCCCAAGGCAAATGCCCAAGGCCAAGCAAGGCAGCCAGCGCTTTTGAAGCTCTTCCCAGAGGCATAGCTAGCAGCCTTTCAAAGTTACTGATTCTTTTCAAATACTGAAGCAATCATTTCCTAGCGCCTAGGAACGACCCAGCGGATTGCTGTTTGGTATGTTCCAAACAAGTCTGGGATGACAAAGTCGTTCATTTGGCCTGGGGTGGGAATGAGGGGAGAGAATGTCTGCCTTACAGCGTCTAAACGGGATTCAGTTTTACACCTCAGGCCATGTCCGTGCATGAAAGCATGTTACCCGCAAGCCTGGAGGAGACGAAGAGCTCCTTGGGGGGGTGGAAAGGGGAGAAGGGGGTTCTTAAGGATCTCACCATGAGTGAAAACAGCTGATCACAACAGAAAAACGTTCCGGTTTGTCTGGGGCCTGGAGCTCCCCATACTGTTTCGCTGTGGCTAATGAGCGCATGCAGTGTGTTCCGGCAAAGCCCTAGTCTGCTTGAGCTTTGCTGTTTCCCATTCTGGTTTGCTTTCTTCCAGGCGTCTGGATGCCAACCACATCAGCTACGTGCCACCCAGCTGTTTCAGTGGCCTGCACTCCCTGCGGCACCTTTGGCTAGATGACAACGCTCTGACAGAGGTCCCTGTCCAGGCTTTCAGGAGTTTATCAGCCCTGCAAGCCATGACCTTGGCCCTGAACAAAATACACCACATAGCAGACTATGCCTTCGGGAACCTCTCCAGCCTAGTAGTCCTGTAAGCTTTATTGATTTTTCTCTCCCTTTTAGCAGCTTCTAAATCCCCTCTGAGATCTTAGCCTTAAACCTCAAAACTTGAAGGGAGGCGCTTTAAAGGGATGAAGAAAAGTTCTACGACCCTCTCTAAAATGACTTAGGAATTTTCTAAATGTGTGAATGATTTAAACAACATTTATCAAATACCTGATTAGTAATAAACATTGCTGGGCATACAGTAGCACCTTTACCTTTAGCAGAATCCGTTGTACAGTTTAAATCATTACAAAGCTAATAGAAACTTTTTATTGAAAGATAATTTAATTATTAATGATAAATATTACTAACAAGGATTTTTTTTTGCAGTTCTAAGGATGGAACTTGGCACCACAAATGCTAGCAAAACAAGTACTAATACTTTATCAGTAAACTACACTCACAGCCTTGACAAGTACATTTTTTTTATTATTATTTATTTATTTGGCTAAAAAAAAAAAAAAAAAAAAAAAAAAAAAGAAGGCAGATCATTCCCAAGCCGGGGTATATCCTAGTGGAAGACTGTCTAGCATCAGCACCTGGGGTTAAGCCCTAATACTGATGGAAAGAAGTTAGAAAAAAAAATAGGAGAAAGAAAAAGGAGATGAAGAGCAAGATGAAGAGAAAGAGGGCAGAGCATTGACTCTTGACAGCAATTCTGCATTTCTACAGCTTATTTTTTTCTCTTTGAGATCTAGATATCTTTTGGGTTGGGTTGGATTGGGTTTTCGAAACAAGATTTCATGTAGATTGGCCTTGAATTTGTACATTTGAAGATGTCCTTAAAGTTCTCAACCCCTGCCTACCAAACATTAGGATTATAGGCAAGTACCACCACCCAGGCCTCAGTCACATCTCACCATTTTAGAAAATCACAGTGGTTCTCGACTAATAGTTTGGAAATTAATCAGTCTTCTTTGAGAGTGAAGCAGTATATTCTTTCGTGTGTAATAGAATAAGCAACCTTTATCCAGCACTGATGTTTCGATGCAGTTACTGCTTGAACAGCTGTAAGAACAACTTGCTTGATGTGTTAGCTTTCCATCCCTATGACAAATGCTGGAGATAAGCTGTTGCATGCTTCCTCTCACCTATAATCCTAGGGTTTAGGAGGCTGAGAGATATGAGGGTTGAAGTGAGTTTGAAAGCCAGCGAAAGCTTATAGGTCAAGCCGTATGGGCTACAGGATAAGAACTTATCAGGGAAGGAAAGGAGGAAGAAAGGAAAAGGAAGAAAGGTGCATTTGAGCTTACAGTTTCAGTGATTTCCATGCACAGTTATCGGTCTCATTGTTTTGGACCTGTGGTAAAGCAGAGCATCGTGATAGGTAGTACCTGGTAGAGCAACTAGGAAGCATAGATAGACAGGGACCCAATGTCTCCTTAAAGGACAAGGCTCAATGACCTAGCTTCCTTATACTAGGACCCACCTCTCATAGGTCCAACCATCATCTTATCTGATATAACACCACAAGCTGGCTGCCAAGCCTCAAGCTTATGGGTCTTGGGCAGTCGTTTAATACACAAAGTTACAGGGAGCATAGGGAGAGGGTCCTTTGGTCCCCTCCCTCCCCAGTGACTCTCAGTACCCTCACCAGACCACGGCATCACTGCAGCTGATGGCCCACTCTTCTTTGTAGCGTGTACTCCTAGGAAGGCTCTTACCCATCTTTTTCTGTTTCTCTCCATCCCCTCTCTAATTCATTGCCTATAAAAGACCCAGAAGAGATGTCACAAAGACCTCATCTAAATAAAAAATTTATTTATCGAAACGAAGATCTTTGTCTGGGAAGAAAAGAAATTGAGAGGGATAGTAACACATTTTCACCCTGACTTCTTCACATGAAAATGTTATCAATGACTCTGAAGAAGCTGACTAGGGCCTTCAATTTTTTTTCCTCCACTGTTTTTTTTTTTTTTTAACCTTGTTTCCCTTAAACCCATTTCTGCAAAATCTCTTCAGGTGTTAGCCAACTTCACAGTTGTATACACAGCTGTTCTCATCGACTCTGGCATCCCTGGCTTATCAATTGAGTCTAAGATGGTAATTGTACACGTTAATGGTTTGTCAAGATTACTAATCTTAGGTAGCAGGAAAAGTCTGGTCACTAGTCCCTGTAGCTAAAAACCCCTTCTTGATGACCTGGGAATGGAGTCATCACAAAACATGCTGCGTCCACGTGTGACCCTCAGTATCTCTATTGACCGCTCTCTGTCTCCACGTCACAATGAGCAAACCACGCTGGAGAATACAATGAAAAACGTGAATCATTCATATCATCACACACAAGTAGTACTTATCTTAAACCCAACGCTATAGAATTGTTTACAGTATGAGTGAAGGTAGCATCGAGGCTTTTGTTTTAATGTTCATTTCTTCTCATTAGTGGATTCTTTATATTTCTTTCGATTTAAACATCCAAAATGTTTCTAATTTTTCTCTGTGCAGTCTGCCTTCATGACTGTTCATGACTGCTGCTAATGCTCTCTTGCAGGCATCTCCATAATAATAGAATCCACTCCCTGGGAAAGAAATGCTTTGATGGGCTCCACAGCCTGGAGACTTTGTGAGTTGACCTTTTATTTGTTTCCCCCTTTCCAGTGTTTTCATGAATATTCTGAAGGAATCAAAACAGCTTTAAAGCCAAACTTGATGTTTGGTTTGGTTAATTGCCTGAGCTTTAAACTGATATTTACAGAGGCTTTATCACACACACACACACACACACACACACATACACACACCCCACAGAGCAAAACAATAAAACTGCGATTCTATTTTAATCTCTTGAGAATGGCAAATTAGTGAGAATAATTAAAGTTAAATGAGATGTTCTCAGTAAGCAGTGACTGTTTGCTTAGGAATGTGGATTCTCCACCAGAGGAGCAAACCCTCTTGTCAGGAGCACTAGTCCTGAGTTGGGTGGGAGATGGGTCCTCTGCAGAAGGGAAGCTGAAGATCCTGAGAACTAAGTCCCTAATAAGAAACCAGGTTCCTACAGAAGCAATCCAAGGGACTATATCACTTGCGGAGTATGTGGATGATCCCTGATATTCACTGAATAATGTTTACAAATATCCCATTGAGCAGCTATTTCTGTCCTGTCTTAGACCCCACTGAGTTACTTTACCCAAGCTACATATTTAACTTGTAGCATAATCGGGAATTGATTTTTTCCCCTCTAATCTGATTCTGAAATCCATGTTTATTTCCAGATACTGCTTTCCAAGAACGGGTCAGAAATTCCACTGGATACAGTGGTACGTGCCCGTAGTCTCAAGCTATTTTAAGGCTAAAGCCATCTCTTGAGCCCAAGGGCTGAGATTTTCCTGGGTCAACAAAGCAAGACCCACTACCTCAACAAACAAACAACAACAAAAATAGATCAGGTTTTTGTTGGTAGTTTTGATAAAAATGAGTTCAGTCAGCTGATCATATCCGAGATTCCAGAGCCAGGGCAGAGCAGCTCACCACCTACCTAGAGCACAAGCCTCCTCCCAGTACAGGAAATGCTCTCCAATGCCCCGTTAAGCAAATGGAGTGCAGTCAGGATGGGTAGCAGGCAGCAAAAGTCCCGAGTGTACTTGGAGAGGAAGGTGGTTGCAGTGACGTCCTCAAGTCCCTTCCCACTTTAATACTGAAATACAATAAATAGAAGACACGAGGCCTTGTGTCTGATCACAAAACCAAGTCTTCTGTGATCTTGGGGAACATTGTTCATTTGCATGCAGACTGTAACAACTTACCCACGGTCAGTTCAGCTTCTGACCGGTTCTGGACCAGCAAGCTTCCTGAGGGACCCTCTATCCCGGGTCTTCTCATAACAGATGAGCACCCACAACTCTTCTTCTGCATGACTCGTCACTCTGCTTCTTCCCAGGCGTGAAAGAGAAACTCAACCAGATATGTCCTTGATGGCATGGGAAAGCAGTTTCCATCAGCTACTAGGAAAACGTTAGAATGCCCCTCTTATTAAGTAACACTTTCTCATTCCTTCCAACAGAATAATTGGAACAAAAACACAACAAAACAAAAAACAAAACAAATGAACAAATACAGACAAAAATCAAAGACAAAATTAGCTTTACTCTTTGTTTCCATAAATGCTTTTCCTGTCCCCAGTCCTGGATGAGGAACCAGACTTAGAGAAAAATACATATAAATACCACAGAACAAAGAGTTTCAGGACAAATATGTGAATCTTATTGTCTGGCCCTACTTTGCTGAAGGCTACAGAGGATCAGTAAATTGGTTATTCCCAACCTCTTCCTTTCCCTGGCTAGAAAGCCAAGTAATTTATAAGGGTCCAGTCCTCGTTTAATCAAAACAGAGCATCTGGAGAGATTTACAAACAGGAAGAAAATTTATGTCCACAAAAGACACGAGTTTCCTGCCTGCAGAATAGCTTAAGGATGGCTTGTGCCAGACAAGTAGGAATCTTGATTCATGTCTAACTCAGTCAAATTATCTTTCTCTTAAAATTAAATAGCAATTCTTTTCTACTGAGGAGGATCTAACCACATCTGATTGCCTTACCAAAAGGGTTTTCTATGTCATTTGGGAAATCTGCCATTCCCAAGGACCAGACAGCAATTCGTTTTTCATATGAAGATAGAGGTATAAGGAGGAGTAAGCCTATAAAACATGTGTGAGTAATGGGATTGAAAAGCCATTTATGTCATTGCAGATAGAGAAATTAATGATTTCAGATCCTCTGGCCCTTCTATCTCTGTGTATGACCGATAGCACAAAGCTTTGCCTCACAGATCAGACTCTTGAGTTCATCATCATTTGCGACTCTGGGAAAACTCTAGGCTTCACGTCTTTGCTAAGGGTCCTGTGTATCACCTAAACCTTTCCAAAGCATACATCTTGTCCTAGACTTCAGGCTGGGTGAGACAAGGGCAGGAACAAGGCAGCACTCATGTCCTGCTTCCTAAATGAGAAGGAGGAAAAGAAAAAGGAGGTGTATCCCAGGACTGAAGAGTGCAAACACCAGCTGGCAATTCAGTGAACCAGGACCCAATGAAGAGCTCCATCAGGAAGTGATCAGAAGCAAGCCAGCATCACTCCTCTTAGGAAGTTAAAGCAGCTGCAGGTCCCTTCCTGTTTTAAATGACCCAACACTGCCTTTGATCTTTGGCTCAAATTTTCTGCTCACTGGTGTCATGACTATTGAAATGCAAGTATTTTCAGACTGTTAGTGGACAGGGCCCTAGAGATGGCTCAGCAGGTGAAAGCACTTGCTGCTTAACTTGCTAAACTGGAACTCACCAGTGGAAGGAGAAGAACAGCTCCCAAAATTGTCATTTTATTTCCACAAGCAAGCTTGGTGCTCACACGTGCCCACACAAAAACACACAAACATGCATAGACACACGCACGGGCACACTCAAGCACACTAAATACAATAAATTGTTTTTAAAGTATCAGGCAACAAGCCCCAATAAACCCTCTCCTGAAAGAGAAAATAAAAATGAGCTTCCATCAATGATACAGGTCCATTGGAATAGCGTACACAAAGGTATTATTGGATTAAGTGACAGGCTCAAATATTTACTGAAATGTAACTGCTATACTTCTTTAATTGATTTAAATAATTTACTTAATGAATTTATTTATTTTGTTAGTGATGATCTACAATGTTCTAGCTATTATCTTACTGAAATGAGTACAGATGAAATTAAATAACTGGGCCCCCGTCTCTGGAAGCTGCAATCTCTCTACTAACATAAGTCACTGCTGGTTCTTTCCTAATCAACTTAAAAACAAAACCCAACCATACTTACTTATTTACTAACTTATCTTGTAAATAGAAGTTTTAACTGAAATACTAAAATACCATTTACTCATTTCCAGAGACTTAAATTATAATAACCTTGATGAATTTCCCACTGCAATCAAGACACTCTCCAACCTTAAAGAACTGTAAGTGTTAAGACAAGCTTGATGAATGAACTTTTACTCTTTGCAAACTTATTTTAAAATTGGTGTGCTTATTATATGTAATGGCTGAAAATTTTTAAGCTTATGTAAATAATAGTTAAGTGCACTTTAAATATGTTTTCACTGATTTCCATAACCAAAAGCATCAGAATTTTTAAATTTATAAGTGGCCTTCCATATGCATGTAAAACATATTTTATATTTATGCAGCATATAAATTATATGCATTTTAGTACCATTTACATTCTTTCATTTTGTAATACAACTATAATAGAATTTAGTTATTTGTTAAACATTTCTATGAATCTAGAAATTTCTGAGTTGTATGAATTTCTGAGTTATATAGAATTGTATGAATAAAATTATTTGTCCCTTATATAGTAATTAATTCTTTCACAGATATTTTATTACATGCATTATTCCTCAAATGCTAGATGAACCTCTTCTATTTTTTTTTTTTTTTGGCATAAAAAATTTATTGGGGGTTTATTGGGGGAAGGAAGGAGTGAGAGCCTGGAGAAGGGTAGAGACAGTGAGTGAGCCATGAGGACAGAGAGAGAAGCTGGACCAGAAAGAGATAGCTCCCTATTTAACTTTTAAAGCACAGTTTCACTAAAGGTAAACTAACTTTTGACCGTTGAGTGTATACATTGTTTTTAATTAGCTTTCCCTGATATCTAAAAAGATGAATAGCTTCTGTACGTACTGTCCTAGTACTTGAAAAAATATAAGCCTGGAATTTTATATCCTCAAAGGAGATAGATAGAGGAGGTTGTTTATAAGGAAAAAACCTTTGTGGGTTTCACCTCAGAGAATCACATGTGCATAATACTGATGGGAGAGGCAACCCTAACATACAGCCACAACCCTAGAAAACTCAGTGATCCTTGACTCTGCCTCTCAGCCGTTCAGACAGTGGAAATCAATTTGTTATTACAGACCCACTAAGCATCTTCCTCGTAAGGCGTTTCCTTAAATCTCTACTTCACTTCAGCTTAAGTCAATTTTCCCTTCTCCCAGCTTCAAACAGGGAGTGATCTTAATCCTCTCTCCAAAGATAGCTCCCACTCAAGCTGTTATGCAAAGGCTCTCTACTGGATGTCAACAAAAGGATTTTCCTTTTCTAACGTAACAGCCTGTTTCCACATAGCTCAGGTAGGATTTGCACAGCTTCTCTTCTTCTTTCAAGATGAGAGCCCTTGATTCCCTTTGCTCCTCTGAAGTAAATGAGGACATACATACACAGTCCGTGAGGCAGGGAGGAGTTACCTGTACCCTGGTTACCAAAGATGCTGACTATGGTTACATGGTAGGGCAAACAGGGCTATTAATTAACACACACACACATATACATGTGACTTTCTTTAATATTCTTCTCTCTTTCTAGAGGATTCCACAGCAACAACATCAGGTCAATACCTGAGAAAGCATTCGTAGGCAACCCTTCTCTTATCACAATGTGAGTGGCCATTGTGCTCGTTTTACTTGTCCTTCCTGGCATATAACAGTTTTAAATATATTGCACATTTAAATATAATGCAATTAATGTTGTCTGTTCACCCGATTTTTGGCACAATCTGTGCAATAATCTGTACAAAAGTGTATGCATTGGTATATCTCATCGGGTTTCGACTAAACCCTGAAATGATACTAAAGACTGATCTTTTAGGATCTGTGGTGTCCATTGCCTTACAGTCGCCATCTCCAGGTGGAGCCACACTCCACAGCTCATCTTACAAAGCACTTCCGGTTACTCGTATTTTGCAAGGAATGAAAGTGACTTTAGAGCATCCAACGCTTCAGATCACTGAGTCATTCAAGAAAAGAAGGCCTTCAGAGACAATTTACCTCAGGCTTAAACTGCTGGTCATGAGCATTCAGTGAAAGGAATACTGTTTTATGCGTTCTGTCTATTCGTTCACAAGCCCCAGGCTTGAGTCACCTTCAAACAGAACTAGGATGTAATTCTAGAAAGGTGCATGTGCTGTAGAAAAGGGAGTATAAAGGCTGACACATTATAAAAATAAGATAGACTTATAATCGCAGAGTATCAAAGGTTTTGTTTCACACCTAATACAGATGGGACATTTATTATGTATCAACATTAAAAAAAAAATGAAGATGTGGAATTATTAGTTGGCTTTTAGATAAAGGATTCATGTCCAAAGTAGGTTTAGGAAATGGTACTGGCCTTGCTGAGAGGCCTCAGATCTATCATAGAGAAGGTGAGTAAAGGCAACCATTGAACCTGGCCCTAAGGAGGGCACTTGTCAGGGAGTTCTCCTGTGCTAACTTGGTAGAGAGGTTTTCCGAAACCATAGCTGGAGCCCCAGTTAGTCTTAACAATTAGGGAGTAAGTAGGAGGGGAAAGGAGACAGCTAATACACATACAAACAAAATCATTCTTCACCTCTGAAATGTCCTGGCAATATTTTGGCAAGGGCCTTTGAATTCTATTGCCGAATAAACATTAGTCCTCATTAGAGAGCATTTACATATTAAAAGATTAGCGAATTGCATTGGCTTTGCCACTTCTCTCCTTTCAGCCCCAGGACTGGTGTTTAATCAGTCTTTTGGCATGTTAATGTATCTTGAGTAACAGCTCTCCCAGTCTTTGGAAGCTCTCCAAGGCGCTACCTTCTTTCTCCCCACCCTCCTGCTTTCCGTTCAACATGAATTTCCATCTCTTGTCACCACCAGCCTCTCCAACACAGCCACCTCTGTGTGTTTTGCTCGAAGCCCAATCAGTTGGTCAGCAGTCCTCATTTCTACCTCTGCAATCTCCAACCCTCTGCCCTCCTTTTATCCGCACTCTACCAACTCCTCTGTTAGCCATTACTTCTGGATGCTTATCAGTGCACATGAGACTGATCTCCCTGTCTCCACTGTCACCAGGGAAGCTTGAAACAGCATCCTTCTTGTCACTCTGTTGCTAACAAACAGACATCCAGGATCATCCATTTAGATCAAATGCAAACTCCTTACCACAATAGTCACAGTCCTCCACAGACAGCCTTCCTAACCTATTTCCCCTGAAGCTCTCCTCAACAATGCCATAACCCAGCTAAGTAAGCTGCATTTGTATAGCACAAAGGTTCCTTTTTTTTTGCATTAAAATGATTAGAATTCTGTCTTTTGTATCTATTTCAAATGGCACTGCATTTTTTACCGTTCCCACTAACAAATGAAAAAGCTACCTCCAGAAAATTCCAGAACTTTTTACATGTAGTGGTGATACTTCTGCCATAAACATGTAAGCACATATATTCTTATCTCTCCAGTGTATACATATTTACACATGTGTATGAGTGTAATTATGTGCATATAAGTATATAGTATAGCCAAGACAGGTGTACTGTGAGGAAAACTCCACTTCAAGACCTATACTCCACTTGCCATTCTTTTTAAATTCTTTCACTTATTCTTTGCAAAGTCCACACACATATGCACTCTATCTTGATCATAACAAACCCAAATTTCTCCTACCTTCATTGCAGTTTTTTTCCCCTATTGTCTAATCCCAAAGGAAAAGAAGAGATATGTATTAAGACTGAAAAGCACCTAGGCATGCTAGGTAACAACCATGTCAGGTATCATGTGGGACACTGCACTTGAATTAACTCTTGCCATTGTCATACAAAGCCAACGACCAAGCTCATTACTATCTTGGCTTACATTGGGGATCTGGGAAATAGTGAGCTTCCCTGGGTATCTGAGCCTCAATTCGCTCCCCTGAGAATGAGGAAAAGAGAATCTACACCGTAGATCAAAGTTGTTGAACACTCCAGCTGCTTTGGCAGACAGAAGGTGGGGAGCTGTTACTTGTGTGTTCCCAACTGGTCCCAACATCCTTTAAGCAGGAATATTTTTATCATTCCTCTTCAACCTCTAGCATGTAGAATAATTTCCAATGACGGCTTCTTTAATGAACAAATCTTTAACTCTCTGCAATGCCTACTTCATAGTTTGAGCATAGTAGACACTGATTAAGGATTTGTTTTCTGCATGCAGAGGGTGGAGGAAGGGAGGGATTGGGATGGGAGGAGGGAGAGAACCACAGGGGAGATACAAAGTGAATAAAGTGTAATTAATAAATATATATGTGTGTATATATATATATATATATATATATATATATATATATATATATATAT